TAAATAAATACACAAATTCTTGCATAAGTAAAATAATAAATAAATATGCCAACAAATAAATGAATAAATAAATACACAAATTCCTGCATAAATAAAACAATAAAGAAATACGGAAATAAATAAATATAAAAATTCCTGCATAAATAAAACAATAAATAAATAAATAAATAAATAAATATGAAAGTAAATAAATAAATAAATACTAAAAATCCTGCATAAATGAAACAATAAAAAAATATGCAAATACATTAAAATTTTTAAAATAAAAATCTACAAATTCATGCATAAATAATTATATTTTTAAAATAATTATGCAGTGTGAAAGGAGAGAAAAATCTACTTTAAGTTTAGCATTTTCTTATTTCCTCCAATGTGTAATTATTAATCTGCCTGCACTATTTATATATTTATTCATGCAGTAATTTCTGTTTTTTAAATATATGTATATTTTTATTTGCTTATGTATTTATTGTTGTATTCATGCAGGTATTTTTGGATTAAATAATTAATTAATTGTTCAATTTACATATTTATGAATTTTTGTTTTTGCAGGTTTCGGCCTCCATACAAACAATGGAAAAGATAAGGAAAAATAATGATAAAAGAAAAATCACACAAAAAAAACACATTCAGCCTAATTTGTTTATATTTAGTTTATATTTAATAAAATGCAATCCAATCTAGCACACAATATTTCAAAATTATGTTAAATTATTTAAAATAAGACAAAAAAAACATTATAGGTAATGTTAAAAGGAGCAACTTTATTTAGTTTTATTTTCATTAGCATTTTAATATTCATGTTCCTCATTTATATTTTGTTTAACAAAGTATATGAGGAACACGAATATTAAAATACTATAGATTGTTTTTAACGATTTTCAAGTAGAAACTTTACCTTAAGGCTTTATTTTTTGGTAAGAAATTGAGTAAAATATATATATATTTTTTTTAAGTCAACTTAAATCTGTACGAGTATAATGTAGCATATGACTAAAATAATTAGTAATATACGTATTTAAACAATTACTTAAATTATTAAATGCATAATTAAGATTATTAGCAAGGCTCTTGTCCTGCGAGATTTTCTCTGACCAACAGATGGAGATATAAGCTCATATTCCACATCATTCCCACTCCGGTCAGGTGAACAAACTTTATAAATAGAGACACACACGTTTATTTAAGATTTTGACAATCATCATAATCTCCAGTTCATATATATACGAGCTAAAACATGCATTTACTTACTACTAGTAATAATAATAATAATAATAATAATAATAATAATAATAATTATTATTATTATTCTCTCTTTCTTTCTCTCTATTTATATATGTGCGTGTATGTGCGTACGTGTGTGTGCGTGTGTGTGTGTGTGTGTGCGTGCGTTCGCGCGCGCGCATATGTATATTTAAGCTTACATATACAATAGTAATACTAAATATTATTATTATTGGTATTGTTGTTTTTATTGCTGTATTATTATATTATAAATATGTTATAATTGTTATATTATATTATATTATATTATAATATATTATATATTATATTATATTTAATTGTACCATTATATTATATTTCATTATATTGTACTAAATTATATTATATTATATTATATTATTTAATATTAGATTATATTTTATTATATTATATTATATTATATTATATTATATTATATTATATTTTATTTTATTATATTATATTATATTATA